ACAGACCAAGGAAGCTACCATTTCCCCCTGAAACACTTAAAAAATACTTAAGACAACATATTTATAACCAGTTAATTTTTCATTCTCAACTTACAATCTCTTTTGGGAAGAGCACATTTTATGTTTCATAACCGGGCATCATTAATTAGTAAGTGGTGAAACTGTTACATATAGAGAGAATTAGTCCTCTGGAGATTGATGTCCCCACTGTTAACATACAGTACTAGTAACCTCTGACCCAAATTGCTGCTCCCTAGTGATACTATAAGCGGGGAAGAACTTTTCTGTCTGCTAAATGATAGGGTTCAGGTTTCAATAGGAAATGCTGCTCGGTAACAGGTTTTTTCATAGGATCTCACTCTTGATTTACTTTTCACTGAAGAACAAGAAATAACTTGCAGAAAAGTTTGATCTTCACAACTCTACAATGCACTCACCTTAAACACTTTTGAACCAGAAACATTACTGTCCTGAATTTGGTCAAGTCTGGGACATAAGGACTCTCCTGCACTAAGATTTGTACCACCGAATCATAAGCAAGTTAGAAGATACACACAGTTTGTGTTCTTTCTCCTTGTGAATCAAAAGAATATTCTGGGATGCTGTGACTGACCATCAGTTCCTATTGTGTCCCCTTAAATAATGATGATCCCATGTAGGCTGCCAGGAGCAGGGAGATTGGCCCCTGTCTCAAGCCTACAAAGCATACTCCACTTAAAAAATTCAGAGGCAGGACCCAGTGCAGTAGGCTAGTGGCTAAAATCCTCGCTTTGCACACACTGGGATCCCATATGGGCACTGATTCGGGTCCTGGCGGCCCCACTTCCCATTCAGCTCCTTGTTTGTGACCTGGGAAAGCAGTGGAGGACAGCCCAAAGCCTTGGGACCCTGCATCCACATGGGAGACCTGGAAGAAGCTCCTGGCTCCTGGCTTTAGATCGGCTCAGCTCCAGTCGTTGTGGCCACTTGGGGAGTGAACCAGCAGATGGAAGATCTTTCTGTATCTCCTTCTCTCTGTGTATCTGCCATGCCAATAAAAAATTTTAAATAATTTTTTTTTAATGTAGAGGCAAAATGACTGAGACAGGTAAAGCCTCCATCTGTGGATTCACTTCTCAAATTCCTACAATGACTGGAACTGCGACAGGCTGAAGCTGGTAGCTGACCACTCAAACCAGATCCCCTAGGTGGGTGGCCATGACCCAGTAACTAACTTTGGCCTCCCAGGCTGCACATCAGCAGGATGGTGGAATCCACAGTAGAGCCAAAAGTTGAAAACAAGCCATCTGATAGGGGCTGTGGGCACATCAATAGGTATCTGAACCAGGAGGCCAAACACATATCCCAGTATATCCCACATGTAACAGAAAAATAAAAATACTGGAGTTAGTATAGGGAGTCAAGAGAATGTACCTTGACCAGGCTCCAACAACAGAGTGCTACCTGTTCAACAGACCAATTCCTGGGCTCTATAACCAGCCATCTGCTGCATGTCAAGACCACAGTTCCCACAGGCTGCTCTTGGCCACTGAGTCAGCACAGCAGGTAGCAATGCAAAGCTTCGCATGACCTTGCAAAGTTTGTCATGACACTTCCACCAAACCTTCTCCTCACCAAGATGGGCTCAGGCTTGACCTGAGTTGCATTCCCCTCCTTCTTGGCTCCAATCCTGACCCCTTCCTTTCACAGATCTCCTAATGAAGCCCTAGCGTGTTGAATCCTGTATTTGCTCAGATCAGCCTAACACATCTAGATGAACAACTTATTAAATGAATCTTCAGAAAATCAATCCACAGTGATTTTATATAGATCTCAAGCTTAGATTGCCTCCTCCATTCCTTTCATTCTTATCTTTGGAAAATACTAACCAAAAAACCCAGGGTTTTAGGTAAAAGTAGCCAATTGATAACTTGGATTTCGAATTCATTCATTCCTAAAGACGTGGGAACAGATTAGAAACTATTTGGTGAAATTATCTACTTATGTACCTGTCTTGTATTCAACTATAAATTGACACCCTGTTTCATTCTTTTTTTTTTTTTAAAGAATGCTGGATTTACAGCAGCTGTTCAATAGATGAGTGCAGGAGATGAAATCAATATCACTCATCCACAGTCAGGTACAGACATTAAAGGAGGGAGGCATTCTCAGACATTTCCAGGGATATGAAAAATATAACTATTGTTTTCATTACCCAAATCACATAAAATTAAGCTCCAGTTACACATTAAAAACCACAGGAAGTAACATTCCCAGAAAGCCTTAGACCTTATGGGAATAAGAAAAAGAGAAAGTGTGAAATATTGTAAGGAACTGATTTTACACTGTGGAGGAGGTCTCCTGAGTGATACCTTACTAGCTTCAAATACTTAGCCTGCCTCTCTAAGAACTGGCCCAGACATAATGTGTGAGTTTAGAAGAACAAGTTGCAATAATCATGCGGACAGACATAAACCTGTAGATGATTGATATATATATATATACATATATACACACACACACACACATATTTGTATACTTTCTACATTGATTTCCATATACTAATGAAATTGTAGATTTAATCAAACTCCATTTTTCCTAAATTAAAGAGAAAAAAAGAGAGAGAGATAAGTGTTTGACCTACAGGTTAAGACATTTCTTAGGATGCTGGTATACGGAAGTGGCTGGATTCTATACCCAGCTCTGGTTCCTGACTCCAGCTCCCTACAAACACAGACAATAGGCATGGTGAAGGTCCGGGTGCCTAAGTTCCTGGCACCCTGTGTGGGATACCCGGACTCAGTTCCTGGCTCCCAGGTTCAGCTTTTGTCCCGGCCCAGGCCACTGAGGGCATTCAGGGTATAGTGAACCAGCAGATGAGATGTCTGTTTGCCTCCTCCTCTGCCCAATAAACAAGCAAATGAAAAAAATAAAAAAGAAGAAAATTCCTGCATCTTCCTATTGTATGAAGGAATTGCTTTTAATCAAAATATTGACCCATTTAGAGGACAGTGTCAGGTTGACATTTACTAAATAACGTAACATTAAATGGAGACCAAACAGAAAGTTACAGTTACACCATTATACTGCACAATATCTGATTGCTTCATCATTTAACAAAGCACTATATTTCACCAACTACTGGCATATCCACAATGATTACATTTTACCATAACAACAAAAACAAGTGTGTCAGTGGAGACCCCAAAACAGTGAAGCTCTATCTTGAGTTTAAATGAGTATATGTGAGTTATATCTTGTCCCTAGGGGATTCCTGCTGTACATTAGTGTACTGGAAAGCTAATTAATCCTCCTGTCCTCCCCTGGCTTAAGAACCTCATATTAACACTAGCTTGGCTCATGTGCTTCCTTGGAAGTACATTTGGTGAACATGAGTAGGTGGGAACATCATCCACACATGAAGACAGGAGAGCCAGAATACCTTTTCCTTCCTCCCCATCTCATTACGTTCCCCAGAAGCTACTGCAAGTGCAGTGAAATTACAAAATAAAGACAGACCTCAATGTTGGCAATTTGAAACGACTAATTCATGTCTTTCAACACACGATCGTCTAATGAATAATATTTAGTACAAGTTATATGAAACTGCAAGTTAGCACTAAGGGAAGCCTAATTTTTGCCCTCCAGGTTAGGAAGAAAATAAAAGCATAGCTCTTCATATTTCAAATTGTTAACATGTTATTATTCCTGTGTGGCAACCTAATAGCAGATACAATTTGAGGTGCTAACCAGGTTCATATGTGATAAAACATTTCAACAGGAAGCAGTGAAAGAAAGTAACCCTGTGTAATTTAACATGTACTTTTTACAAAAAAATCAGTCAAGCAAATAATTCCAAACAGTTAAAGTAATGAATATATGAAAAATGTCATTGAAAGTTCAAGGCAAACAAAGATTTTATAGCGTCTGATAAATAAGGCAGCAGCACAGAACAACCTGTCTAGAGGAAATCTCTGATTTAATGTAGAAAGAAATAAAATTTTAATTACTCAACGTGAACAGGTGGAAAAGGAGAATTGATTCCTTTTCTAAAGAGACTGCTTTCCTGGCTAGCTGTCAAAAACTAGCTGAACAAACATGGCACTTCTCAAACAGTTGCTTATAAAGTTTCATTATAAATGATTTCTGGCAGCACAATGTGGTACACATATGTACCGAAAATAAGCAACCGGTATGCCACAGCACTGTCCTTCTTCCCGAACTGAGCCCCTGCAGTCTCTTTGGTGGTGTCCTCACATAGCATAACCAAAAGGATTCCCTGCCACCATAGAGATCATCCCCTCGAGGAAAATGAGAAGCTAGTAACACATGCGAAAGATCTACCACGTGCATGGCCATTCCAGTGTCATTCTACCAAATATTATTCTTTGGCTCAATCCCACTAGATGTGGTTGAAATAAGCCTAGGTTTTGACAAAGGCAAGTTTATATTTCAGATACACTGTCTCAGTCATGCTATAAGGTACAACTGGCTTTAAAAAGCCTACCATGATTCAAAGACAGTGACTAACAACTTTTTTACGTATAGGTTTTGCAGAGCACTTATGGCCTCTGCCACAAATTTGTCATTTTGATTTACTCCTTCAGAAGTGCAAAGCCATTTACCTCACAGGCTATACAAAAACAGGGCCAGGGCAGCCAAAGTTTGCCAATCCCTGACCAAAAGACCTGAATACGAGACCTTTTAAGTGACCACTGTCCGTCCAATCTTTCATTTTCTCCATTGGGTGTGTGTGTGTGTTTACTCTTTTGCTTTTTATTATTCATTTACCTAAGTCCAACAAAACATTTTTTCCCAGAGCTGAAATGTGCAATGAAAGCAGACTCCAAGTCATCTCTGAAGACCAGGGCCACCTGCTCTATTTCACATAGCCACAAGAAAATGCTGTTGGCAGGAACCCTTTTTAAGTCTATACCTAGAAGAGATCTGCAGCAGAGACTGCACATGCTCTCCAACCTACCGCCTGGGGCGCACACATAAAAGATCTAATGCTCCCTTACCTTGCTGGAGGAACATCAATATTAGAAGAAACAACTTTTCGTTTTTGCTCAAGCAGACAGATGGAGCGGGTGTTTTCTTTCTCATGGTCAAGGATCCGATGGCCTTTTTTGGTGTCTGCTGTTTTCATATCTTCCTCCATGGCCAAAGGGAACAGGTGTTGATGAGACATCTTTTTATTGGAGTCACGTTTTAAGTCCTCTGATTGAAATGTGAAGGTCATTTCCCGCTTAATGCTCCCCACCTGTAAAAGAAACGCAATCAGTCATACACAAAGCATCAGTTTTGCACGACCCCCTCAGACGGTTGGCAGTGATATTACAGGCATTGTCCTATCTCGCCATCTTGAGGGTTTTACAGCTTAAATGGGAAAACACAACTCAGAAACAAACTAAGATTACAGAGGAATACACAGCTGATGCACTTGTCATGGATTCAAGGAGAAGCATCACAGATACAAGATATGTCTTTGAGGCACATGAAAACAGTAAGATTCAAAAACACAAACACCACAAGGAGTTTTTAAATCTAAAACATTATTGCTTAGGAAAACTTACGTGTTAACACTTAAATATTTCAGACTGAGTATCATACTAAATAAATGAGACCTAACATATAAAAATCAAACTTTATTTTTGGTTACTAAGGCTGATCCATCACAGACTATAACTTATGAAAGTCTTTTTTTTGTTTGTTCTTTTTTTTAAAAAAAATTATTTTTATTATTTATTTATTGGAAAGGCGGATATACAGAGAGGAGAGACAAAGAGGAAGATCTTCCGTCCAATGATTCACTCCCCAAGTGAGCACAACGGCCGATGCTATGCCGGTCCGAAGCCAGGAGACTCTTCCGGGTCTCCCACGCGGGTGCAGGGTCCCAAAGCTTTGGGCCGTCCTCGACTGCTTTCCTGGGCCACAGGCAGGGAGCTGGATGGGAAGCGGGGCTGCAGGGATAGAACCGGCGCCCATATGGGATCCCGGGCATGCAAGGCGAGGACCTTAACCACTTGCGCCACCGCGCTGGGCCCTGTTTGTTTGCTCTTTATCAACAACAGTTAAGTGTTTCATAAAATCCCTCCAAAAGCATATGTTGAAGACTATTTTTCCTTATCATTCTTAGTTAAATGCAATGTTGACTGAGCCATAAGAAAAGATAAAATTAAACCTCATGGAACTGAAGCCTGCTCTTCAGAATTTGTGATGCTGAAGAAAGGCAGTGGAGTCAAAGGTTTGTATCAGATAACTATTATTAACACAGGGTCTGCAGTGAGCTTGGTCCCATGTGCATGATGCAGAGTCCAGCCAGCCAAGCTCCAGAGCCTCCCTCAGCAAAGGAGTACATTTCCAAATACACTCCCCGTAAAACATTTCAGAGGTCTGTAAGACAATCCAACCCCTCTATGGAGTCTGTGGAGCTGGTTTATCAAGTTAGTAAATCTTTACTCATCCATTTGAAAAGAATATACACTTTCTGGTTTCCTCTTTAATTATAAGCAAGACAAAAGGCACAATGATATGGATCAAACAGATTTAGATTTATAGGTCCAAAAGCCATGTGTGCATTGCATTTTCAGAACAAATAAGCATGTGTGTGTTGGATAATAGTGCATGATTCTAATGACTAAAACCCTCAGGTTAAAGGAAAGCTCGGAGATGGTAGGGCTGCAGTCACAGGACCTGCCACACAAGACAATTTCCAGCAACCAGGGGTGATCTGAGTCTCAGAATCCACCTGCCACACAAAGCCCAAGACAGAGTCCAATTCTGTCCTCAGCCTGTCCTCTCAGGGACAAGCCAAGACCATCTTCCCACAGTTTTCCCGTCAGACCTAGACCCAGCTTCACAGGACAACAGCAAGCCATTTGTTGTAACTTTAATACAAAAATGTCACCATATTTCAGACTGTGCTAATGAAAAAAAAAAAGCCAAGAAAAACCTGTGTCTGTCTTTAATAAGTGTGAATGTGTGGATATCTTTTTTCGTTTATCTGAAATGCAAAGAAACAGAGAAATTGAGAAAGAGAGATCTTTCACCTTCTGGTTCATTTCCCAAACATCTCCAACAGTTAGGAGCCAGGCAGGCCACTGAAAGGAGCCAGAACTCAATTCAGGTCTCACCCTTGGGTGGGAGGGGTCCTGGTACTGGAGCCACCACCTGCTGCCTCCGGGGATGTGCAGCAACAGAAGCTGGAACTGGAAGCAGTCCTGGGACTCAAACCCAGGCATTTCAATATGGGATGTGAACAGCCCCAAACACTGCACCAAATGCCCGTCTCTGTTAACTCTTTAATGGAATCATACACAAATTCCTGAGCCTAAGGAACTGTATCATGAAAAATAAAAATATTTAATTAAAAAAAGAGCTAAGGCAACAGGAAAAAAAAGGGGGGGGGTCTGAGTTTCCCAAAATGCAATCAATGTCCTATAAAAAAATCTGCTTAATAACGCTACAAATGTAACAAATATCCACTAGCAATCACTATCTTTAGGGAACTCTACCATGTAGGTGTGATGAGGAGAAGCTTTCACTTCCAGCTCATTCTCAACTTGTTACAATGAGGATATTCTACATAAACGAGGTGCCAAAGAAGAAAACAAAGGTCTTTGAGGATTATAAATAGCTTCTCCCTGAGTGTCAAGTATTACATTAATCAAATTTAAGTAGTTATCAGTATTCATTTAAAACAGTTATTGGCATCTGTGCTTTCCTTGGGGCATCTGAACTGTTGAAATGCATTTCATACAACCTGTAAGGGGGGGGGGGTGTGACAACACTGCAGGAATAGTAGCTTTTAGGCTCAAAATTTTAGAAAAAACACTCAAAAATACATGTAAGGAGTTATTTGAACATGCCACCCTGGACCTGGTACCATTTCCTGCTCCTCAGAGCTTATGAAATTCACGCTGGTCCAGCATCCATCATTTAGATGTAACCTGGCATTTCACTTGAGAATCCCACCCCCAATATCTCCCAGCCCCTTTCCCAACCCGGCCCACTTGCCAGTCATCCTTAAGCAATCACCTGTGACAGTCTCAGGCACCAATCCCTGGGCACGCCCTCAATCCCTCCCAATCCCACGCCCCCAAGCCTTGCTCACCTGAATATAAAGAGCCCCAGGTGCCGCCATCTTCCCTTTTCCTTGCTGTTCTTCCACCACCCCGGTCCTGTTCCTGCCCCGGTGGAATAAGCCTCCTAAGACAACTTGCTGTGTCTGGTGTTTTCAGCTCACGGTAAAAGAACTAGGCTGCTGGAATTAGCTGCATATAATAACATAAGAACTAGAACTGTTTTAAATAACTAACAATATGCTGTCTCCAAGATGTCACTGTACAGGTAAAAATGCAATAATAATTTCCCAAAAAGTTCTTTTTTTAAGATTTATTTAATCTATTTCAAAGGCAGAGTTACAGAACGAAAAAAAGCAAGAGCAGAGCGCAAGCTTCCATCTACTGGTATACTCTCCAAAATGGCCACAAAAGCTGAAGCTGAGCTGATCTGAGTCCAGGAGACACGGGGTTCATCCAAGGCTGCCCAAAGACTTGAGTCATCTTCTGCTGCTTTCCCAGGCCATAAGCAGATAGCCAGATCAGAAGCAGAGCAGCTGGGACTAGAACTGGCAGCCTTAGCAGATGCTGGAGGATTAGTATGCAACAGCACAATGCCAGTCCCAAATGCAGCTTTCATACATCATCCACCCACAGAGGGCACTTTTTCACTTCTGTCCTCCATTTGCACAAGATCTTGGTAATACAACCATTCCTGCTGACCTGCAAGCTTTGGGCTAAGCTAGTTTCCATCTTTGACATTGCTTAGCAATGAACTCACGGGAGGTGACAGCGTTGGAAAAGCTAGATCTGAGAAGACACAGTCTGTGCTACAGCCAGCAAAGGGTTCAGTGACAGAAAGAACAAAACACTGGGTGGAGAGAAATGCACAGCAGCGACAAAGTGCGTAAGCACAAAGGAAGGGCACAGACAGAGCTAAGGAACATGGCAGGGGGCTCACTTTCAGGGGTCAATGCCAGAGAAGGCTCAGCTCATCACAACCAATGCGGCAACCTCCTATGGCCCTGAGAGTCTCCTCCCTGAGAGACCCCTAAGGGGCAGGGGGAACTGGTGAGGCTTTGCAATAGTATGCGACTGCCCATTTTGGTGCAGCCTAATTTATTTCCAAAGCCTGAAGACTCACTTCCAAACTCGGCTGTGAACAGATATAGAACTAGAAAAAAAAAAGCCCAGCAAGTATTCCTGGCAACCTTAAAGTCTCATTCAACAAAAGGAACTTCCAGCAGTGTTTTGTTTTTCTTTTTTCTTTATCACTCAAAGATTCAGAAGGCAAAGAAAGAGGCTGCAAGTTAGTAATTGGGTACAGAAACAGTGAGAGGTAATGATTTCATGCTCCAGGCAAAAAATAATGGACTCTCAGCAGCTGGCAATGAGGATCTGGTGAGACCACAGAAGAATCTCCCTGTCAAGAGATTCGCTGACTTGAAAATCCAGCTTTGACTGAAAATTGGAGGAGGGAGGAAGAAAACACCCCGAGGAAATGGCCAAGCTAGAAGTCTTGTGTGAGAAATCAGGAGCAAAACAGCAAGACTAGAGGGTAGTAATTCTCAGAAGAAAATGTAAGGTGGAGACTTAGAAACAATCCTAGTCTGAATTTCAAAAATAAAGGATTTCCAGCCCAAGGACAGATACCTATGACTGTAAGCGACAGGGCTGAGATGGGAATGGGGGGCAAGGAGTATTTGTCTGGTCCTCACATCTCAAGATGAACACGGACAAGCACTGAACACTGGGACAAGCATGAGCTAGACTGCATGGACAAAGACCTCCTTGAGAAAACAAGGGAGGCTCGATCTAGATAACATAGTGCATGTGGTCACAGGCCTGCTCTGAAACAAGGACACTTCCAACTATTGTTGGAAAAATTAAAAGTTTATTTTGGGGTACAAAAGCATATGAAATGGTATCTGTGTGGGATCTCTAACAAGTGAATGGAGGATAAATCTTATGAAAAAACTGCATGAGTTTTCAATTTTTCATCAAAATAAAGGTCATTAAACAAAAATGTTCTTCACTTATTCACTTTTATTATTCAAAGGCAGAGAAAAAGAGACAAATACACAGAGAGCTTTCATCTACAGGATTACTCCAATTAAATGCTAGCAACAGCAAGAGCTGGGTCCAGAGGAACCAGGAATTCCATCCAGGTCTCTCACAGGGAAGGCAGAACACAAGTACT